ATAAGGTTGTAAAATCAGATAATTGGACAGGTTTCAGTCGAATCTTGGTAGGTCGGGTAAAATCAGGTACAGGTCAACTGAGGTTGATTTGAGACCAGATCTAGATCGGGTTCAGGTCAGGTCAAATTAGTTCGGGTTATTTTCAAGTTGATTTGACATTAGATCCATATCGGGTTTAGGTCAGGTTATTTTCAGTTCGGATCGATGTCAGTTCAGGTTAAAACAGTTCAGGTCCGAACCAGATAAAGACCAGGTTAATTCAGGTTCGGGTGGACTTCAGTCGGATCTCGTTAGGATTGGGGTCACATCATTGACAGATAACATACAGGTCGGATGTTTACCGGATACGTATTGAGTTCATGTCGGGTCGTTTTTATTTTTAGATTAATTATTTTGTCATCTTTCGTTATTGTTGAATTGCAAGTTGTAATTGTATATGATTTCGAGTAAATTAAGAGAAAAATAAATATCCATGGATCAATTTTGTAAAAAATATAAATTTAAGGACAAAATTGAAGAAATGTAAAATTACAAATAAAATTTTAAAATGTAAATTAAACAACACACATAGGTAAGGGACTAAATTGAAATAAATTTAAAATGTGAGGTTTAAATTAATATAAAAAAGACTAAATTAAACACATTTAAAAAGTTATGGGCCAGTTATAAAAATATAAAACAACTAACAATGGGTCAAATGAAGATGTAAATATACATTTAAAGACTAAATTGAATACATATATAAGTGAAAGACTTAAAATTGATATAAATTAAAAAAGGATTAAATCGAAATAAATGCAAAATATGAAGAAATAATGAAAAATATAGTAAATTGTATTCATTTAAAAAATTGAAAAAAATATATATATATATATATATATATATATAATATAAGTTTATGTATAAACTATATATATATAAACTATATTTATATTATAAACTATATAATTATTATAAGTTATATATAAAAATTATGTTTATATGAACTATATATAAACTATATATGTAAACTATAATTTATATTAATATAGTATGTATATATTATTCAAAGTGAGAGGTTGGAGAAAACTTTTTAAAATAAAGATTTTTTTTGTGTGATTTTTTTTATTTTGTTTGGGAATTTAGAGGGAAATTGAGAAATTTTGAGAATATAGAGAAATTGAGAATTTAGAGGGAAATTTAGAGGGAATAGAAAAATTTGGAGAAAATTGAATTGAGATTTTATTTGGAAATATATTTTGGGTTAATTAGGCTCATGTTCCTCTAACAATCATCATTTTTCCACTTCTATTTGATTTCTTTCATTTTAGTCATGGTTTAATTGTAGATTATATATGTATAATATAAGTTTATATATAAACTTTATATAGTATATATATGTATGTATAACTAATATAAGTAATCTATAGATATATATATATATATATATATATATATATATATATATATATTATAGAAACACTATGCATAAACTATATAAAGTAATAAAGTATATAGTTTATAAAATCCCTAAACCTTAAATCGTGAACTCTAAACCTTCAATCCTTAACCCTTACCCCTGAACTATATATGTAACTTATAGTACATTATGTATAAACCATGTAGTATATATATATAACATATATATATATATAAACTATATAAAGTAAATTACTTATATAGTTTATAGAAATATTATGCATAAACTATATAAAGTAATAAAGTATATAGTTTTATAACAACCCTAAACCCTAATTCATAACCCCTAAATCCTAAACTTTAAACCATAAACACTAAACCATAAACCATAAACCCTAATATAAATGGACTAACACTAATGCATATATATTTGTAATAAAAGAGTGGGCTTATGTATTGGGCCTATGTAAACTAATGTAAATGGACTAGTACTATTGCAAATGGATTTATTTTTGGGTTTCATTATTACTTACTCATAACAACAAAATAAATGGGCTATTAATGTGAATTAACCTAACATGCAACTAAAATACTAATTATGCAAATGAAATTAATATGGCATGTACTACTATTTATGAACCATATAATATGCAATGTGACATACTAATTATTTAACACATAATTAATCTTGTTCTATATAATTTACATTTAAATGATTTTATTAAATAATTTCATATAATATGTATGTATAAACCATGTATAGTATATATAAACTATATATATATATATATATATATAAACTATATAAAGTAAATTACTCATATAGTTTATAGAAACTTTAAACTCTAAATCCTAAATCCTAAATCCTAAACACTAAACCCTAAACCCTAATATATGTATTACATGCATATATGTATATGCATAATGTGTGTATTAATGTATGTGTATCATACAAAAAAATATATCAGTAAATAATGAAGTTATAATTTGATTTTATGATATGTATGCATGTATGTATGTATGTATAATGCATACATTACATAAACTATCGTGTAAATAAGATTAAAATTTGAATATTTTAATATATATTTTAATTTAAAAATATTATAAAAATATATTGATGTGTGTATGATACATATGTTATATGATATATTATGTATGTATATATGTATATATGATGCATGTATTAAAATTTTAAGCTTTTTAATTTAAATAAATTTTATAATTTTATAAATGTGGTACATGTCAACGAACAATTTTTTAATAATCGTGACGGATCAAATTTAAAAAAAAAATATTCAAATATTAGACACATTAATTTAAATAAAATATTCATTAATAAATAATTTAATTTTTTTTGCATTAAGCCTCCTCAAAATTTGAAAGTAAAGCCAATATTAATTGGCTCCGAATCACCCGCCTCTAAAATTCTTCTACAACTTTGATCAACGAATCTAGGTAGTAGTTGGCGCCAAATCACCCGCATCTAAACTCCTCAAATCACCCGCCAATATTATTTGGCGCCAATATTAGTTGCTCGGATTCAATAATGGATTGCCCATTGGTATAAAAAATGTAATATTGCAAATATAAATAATTAAAGGGTAAAATACTCAAATGATCACTAATGTTTGGGCAAGTTTTCATTTTCACCACTGATATATCAAAAGTCACAAATCATCCACTAATGTTATCGTTTGTTACAAATTGGTTAGTCGACGTTAACAGCCGTTGACATGCATGAAGAAAATCACACGTGGGCCGTTAGATGATTACCTAGATGGTATAATTATAAAAATAGTCCATGTTATTTATATATTCTTTCAATTTGATCCTAGTTTTAAAAAATTAAAATAAATTTATCTACGAATCAGGATAAAAATATATATTTAAAGTATATATTTTATTATAAATATACCTAAGGTTATTGCTACTATTTATTGAATTAATTTTGTATAATTATATAAATTAGGTCACTAATTTTTAGTGTAATTAACCAATCTGTCATAATGTATACAATTATGCAAAATTGATTCAGTAAATAACAATAATATCTTATGGATTATTATAATTTCATTATTTTTAATTAATATTTTTTAAATTTGGCTTAATACACATTTTGTTCTTGTAGTCAACTAGAATCAACAATATTACTTTTTATTTTTAGTTTTATCAATTTATCATTCGTATCCATTAGTGTTATCTTTGATCTATGAAACATGTCATTGATTATTACGTATCGACGTAACAATTAACTGTGATGACATGATAATCTATGGTGTTGATGTGTTAAATGACTTTAACTGATTTTTTAAAAAGTTTAAAGGATTTATTATATTTAAATATTTATTTAATTTTTAAACAACAAAATAAGAAATTCTTAAAATTCTTAAATGTAACGAATACAATAAGATGAGACACATTTAAAATTTTCATTGTAAAATCAAAATTCTTATTAATATATTCACATAAAATATTAAAAAATAATAACTAAATGATCATTTAAAAACTCAAATCGGTGTCATCTTAGTATAAAGTATAAAGTATATAAATATAAAGTAATAAAGTGTTGTTTAATATAAAGTATAAAGTATATAAAGTGTTGTTTAATTTATTCAATTTTTATTTCCAATTTCATGTTTGTTTAATTTGGTACTTTATATATAAAGTATAAAATATATAATATAAAGTAATAAAGTGTTTGAATATAAGTATTAAAGTATATAAATATAAGTATTAAATATAAAGTATATAAGTAATAAAGTATATAATATAAAGTATTAAAGTATATAAATATAAGTATTAATTATAAAGTATATTAATTATAATAATTAATATATTAAATATATTTATTAATTTAATTATCATAATTAATATTTTATTGTAACATTTAAAAATTAATCATATTAATTAGTATGATTTATTATAAACTCAAAATCTCACAATTTTATTAAAATCTTATATTTCATCAATGGTGATATATAAGTTAGGTAAATGTTAAGTCAGATAAATATCAGATCAGATCAATAACAAGTCGGATCATTTACAGGTTAGGTTGAAAACAGGTCGGGTAATACTAGTTATTTACCAGGTCAATCTCGGGTTTGGGTTTATATCAGTCAGATGCAGGTCGGGTTTGGGTATCATATTTTCGATTCAATTCGGGTTCAGGTCGTTATTTAGGTTGGGTGCAGGTCGGGTTCAGATCCATAATTTCCAAGTCTAACTTGGGTTTAGGTCAACACCAGTTTCGACTTGAGTCAGTTTCGGATCGCTACAGCGTAGGTAAGAATAGTTTGGACTTGAGTCGGTTTTAGTCAGTTTTACAGGTTGGGTCTGTCATACCCCATAAATTGCCACAATAATATAAAAATATATATATATATCATATAGCACTAAGATTATAATAATGAGGGTCATGGGGTTTTGAACATTAAAAAAATTCTAGTGGAAGGCAATGGCTTAACCACCATGCCATTTTGTTTTTTTTAATTCAAAACAATAGATAGTGGTTTTATTTTATATATTGGATGATAACCCATTATTCCTGCAAAACTCCCTCCCCGTGCAGTGAAACCAAACTAAATATTTCATAAACTCACCCTTGACACCTTTCGGCTGCCTCATCCGATCGGTGGTGTGGTGCACCAACGTGTTCTTCAGTCTCAGCAGCGACCATCGGTCAAACCCTGACTAACCCAGTTCCAAAACTGGTCATAGTTAGGCCGAATCTAGAAGGGAAATCGACACCTAAAACCCCGATCGTCATTTTAATTTTGTCGATTCTGGCCATTTCAACGACCGTCTTATTTCACCGCCCCGGTTTCAGACTCCTCGTAGCCTTCCGATCAAAACTCAGTAGGTGGGTTGCGTTAACATTTACGTTTCGTCCGTTCACCGTAGGTAAAGTCAGATCGTTTAATTTGGATAATATTTCAATGTTTTAGATTGAAAACATATTATAGTTGTTGTTGGTTTAGATTATTGATAAATAGTTTTAAAATAGTGCCTAATACATAATTAATTTCTGTTCGATGCGATTTTTGTAAATATTTTTAAAAGAGTGCCTAATACGTAATAACTGTTAATTTTAATTTTTTCGGTTAGTTCGTAAATATTTTGAAAATATTTTTAAAAGGGTTTAGTTTCACAAATATTTTTAAAAGGGTGTTAGTTTCATAATTAATTTATGTTAAGGTGCTACTTTTATAAAAGTTGACTGTTGATGGACCACCGTTGACCATAACTTTGACTGGCGTTAACCGGTCATTAAACGGCTGTTGATTTTTCCGGGTATACCTATTTTAACATTTTTTTCGACGTCCCGAATCCGTTTTGAAGTCCGTTTTGCCAAATTCAAAACTGAAAGCCTCTGAAGTTGCCCGTAAACCTGAAAACTCATATTTATCTAAGTGTTTTATGTTAGTTAGTTGACTGAATGATCAAGGACTAATTATTATTATAAAATGTTAAAGGCACGTGGGGATCTCCTGACTGTTTTATTGCTCGACCTGGTTCCTCTCGATCCGTTCGTCCACGAGAAGTCGTGAATACTTGTATAGTTCTAAAACCCTGTTAGTTATTATGTTTAGAATATTATTCTGAATTAACCCTATTCTGATATGGCATAGGTTCCCATTCAGTCGAAGAGCCTAGTGAAGCTGGTATTCGATAGATCTTCAGGATTGACCCTATTATCGAGGTGTGTTCCTTATGTGCAGAATAAATGTTTTAAATATCTTTGAAATCTCATGTGCACATGATTGTTTCTCTAATTTGAAATACAATATTTGATTTGATTTGTATACTTAATGATTTATCTGATTCTGGATTTACTAAAACGTAAAGTGTGATTGCCGGCTTATGATTCTGGATTTACTAAAATGTAAAGTGTGATTGCCCGACTTATGATTTCTGGATACTGGTTTACTGAACTGATGATCTGTCTGAACTCTGAATTTCTGTTACTACTGGTTAACATCTGAAAAATGTTTTTTCGGGGTACTCTGGGTTCTGGTATGAAGACTCTGGCAAGTTCAGTCGATGTTGGTAATTCTTCTGATAGGTTCAGCACCGATTGGTAATTCCTTATTGACCTAAGTCGAGCCTTGGGTAGGCTCTACGACCATGAGAATTTTCTTGGGTAAGCCTTAGTGGCCCCATGAATTGTCTTGGGTAGGCTCGCAGGCTCCAAGTTACTCCCTTAGGTTGTGCAGTTCTAGGGATCTACACATGGCGTTCGGTTTGAGGATGATACTAAATTTTTAAATTAAAAACTCCTATGATGTTTTAATAACTATGATCTGTCCTGGTTTTATAAATCATAACTGTATGTTTTATTTTGCACTGTTGGGACACACTAAGCCTTTAGCTCACTTTTCAAATTGTTTTACCCCTTTCAGATACTCTGGGATAGACACTCCGTATCAGGCACTTGGAGGATTGGTACATTTAGTTCAGAGTATTTTATTGTAATATTCTGTCTTTCGAACTATTTTTAATTATGGTGACATGTACCTTATTTCTGAAGTATTTATATTTTATGACGTTTTCTGTTGTTGTTACTTATATTTGATTTTCAATGCTCCAGATTTATTTCATGTAATAATTTACCTAGTATCTTTCATGTTTTATTTTACGAATTTAGTTTTTATCGTTAAATATTATATACTTTTATATAAAGATCATTTTTAACATGATTTTAAATTATCGAATAATGTTTTTAGAAAAATGTCTTTCAGAATCTTTAATGTAATCCGCTAGACTTAGCCGAAACACATAGGCCAGGTCTAGGGGGTTACATTTAACTGGTATCTTTCATGTTTTATATTTACGAATTTAGTTTTTATCATTAAATATTATATACTTTTATATAAAGATCATTTTTAACATGATTTTAAATTATCGAATAATGTTTTTAGAAAAATGTATTTCAGAATCTTTAATGTTTTACAAAACAAGTCATTATGGACATGGCACCAAGTTTTTATGATTTTAATTGTGTTCGAGACTCCAAGTGCTTATCTAACCCTAGGTTTTATCTTCAGTAGTAAACTCTAGATCCACCAAGATGAGTACTAGACATGGTCATCGAACTAGCCGTGGTCGTGGTAGAGTGGCTAGATTTGCAGACCCGGTAGATGAGATACGTATAGATCCTCCACATCCGATAGATGATTCTGCTCCTACGACCCCGACGAATTTGCCTCATGCCTTGGTATTGGCATGATCGTTCTGATAAGAGGAGTGAATGGTACCGAGCCTGAGTCTAGCAGAGTTGTATTAGATGAGAATTTTGGTAGATAATTTCTTCAGATGATTTAGGGAGCTGTCAAAACTGATGGCGTTGTACCTGAGGTTCCTATCTCTCAGACCCTTATTGCAAATGGAGTCAGGACATTTAGTGGCCTAACTGGTGGAAATCCGAATGAGGCCTAGGATTGGCTTAGTGATACTGAGCGACACATGTATCAGTTAGGTTTAAATCTACATCGACGTTATTTAGGAGTAATTTCTATGTTGGATGGTAATGCTCACACCTGGTGGGAGTCGGTGGTTAGTAGTGATCATACCGATCATTTGACCTGGATTTCTTTAGAGATTGCTTTAGGAGCCATTTCCTGGGAGAGCGTTATTTAAATCAGAGACGACAGTAGTTTCAAGACCTAGTTCAGGGAGATATGACCGTTTCTAAATATGTGATTGAGTTCTTGAAATTACTGAGGTATGGATTCAGTCTGGTACCTACCGAGAGAGATAGATGCCGAAAGTTAGCTCAGGGACTTCGATTCGAGTTATGTCTCCAAGTAGTTACTCATCGGGACGAGGTATTCGATATTGTAGTTGAGAGAGCAAATGATGCGGAGGAAGTCGAGGCTTCTGCAACTGACAGTGATAGAGTAGGTCTAGAATGATCAAGGAAGCCTTCTGGTCAGTCTGTACCTTTTTCACGCCTTGATAAAATATCTCCTACTGTTCCTCATCAGATGAGTCGGTCTGATTTGAGGCCTGTATCTCCTCCACATACTGTAGCTAGTCAAAAGGATTCTGTATATTCCACTCCGAAATTGAGTTGTGAGTTCTGTGGAAATCAACACGGAGGAGAGTGTCGTAAGAAGATGGGTACCTGTTTCATTGTGGATCTAACAAGAACTTCTTGAGAAATTGTCCATATCCAAGTCCTGTCGATCACACATTTGTTCAGACTCCTATACGTTCTCAGACCTCTGTTCAGACTCCAGATATAAGTCATAGTCAGGGTAGGACTTTCGGATCTGTTTCTAGGGTTGACAGTAGAGCCCGATCGCAGAGTAGAGAACCAGATGCTTCGGAGGCTCGACAACCTGCTCTTGTTTATGCTACCCGAAGTTCTGGTGATCAATTTGAGTTTAATACTTCTGTAGGTATATTTATTGTTAATTATGTTTCATGCCATACATTTCTAACAACACTCTTTCTATACACGAGTTTCGTAACATAAGACCCTAAGACTTTGGACTAAGGCACCGAGACCCTATTTCTGCTCCGAGTATATTAAGATAATTTGATATTGTCAAATTAGCTTTGTCCAATAAAGGATATATCAGAGACCTAATCTCAGTTTATTATCTGATTATGATAAATTTCGAGGACGAAGTTCTTTTAGAGGGGGATAATTGTCATACCCCATAAATTGCCATAATAAAAAAATATATATATCATAGCACTAAGATTATAATAATGAGGGTCATGGGGTTTTGAACATTAAAAAAATTTTAGTGGAAGGCAATGGCTTAACCACCATGCCATTTTGTTATTTTTATTCAAAACAATAGATAATGGTTTTATTTTATATATTGGGCGATAACCCATTATTCCTGCAAAACTCTCTCCCTGTGCAGTGAAACCAAACTAAATATTTCATAAACTCACCCTTGACACCTTTTGGCCTGCCTCCTCCGATCGGTGGTGTGGTGCACCATCGTGTTCTTCAGGTCAGCAGCGACCATTGGTCCAACCCCGACTAACCCAATTCCAAAATTGGTCATAGTTAGGCCAAATCGAGAAGGGAAATCGACACTTAAAACCCCGATCGTCATTTTATTTTTGTCGATTCCATCCATTTCAACGACTGTCTTGTTTCACCGCCCCCGTTTCAGACTACTCGTAGCCTTTCGATCAAAACTTAGTAGGTGGGTTACGTTGACATTTACATTTCGTCCGTTCGCCGTAGGTAAAGTCATATTATTTAATTTGGATAATATTTTAGGGTTTTAGATTGAAAACATATTATAGTTGTTGTTGGTTTAGATTGTCGATAAATAGTTTTAAAAGAGTGCCTAATACGTAATTAATTTATGTTCGATGCTATTTTTGTAAATATTTTTAAAAGAGTGCCTAATACGTAATTAATTTCTGTTCGATTCTATTTTTTAAATATTTTTAAAAGGGTGTTAGTTTCGTAAATATTCTTAAAAGGTGTTAGTTTCGTAAAGATTTTTAAAAGGGTGTTAGTTTCATAATTAATTTTGTTAAGGTGCTATTTTGTAAAAGTTAACTGTTGATGGACCACCGTTGACCATAACTTTAACCGACGTTAACCGGCCATTAAACGGCTGTTGATTTTTCTGAGTATACATATTCTAACATTTTATTGACGTCCCGAATTCATTTTTTGAAGTCCGTTTTGCCAAATTCAAA